TGTCTGCTAATTGTAACTCATCACCTTTGTAGACCAATGGAATTCACTTTATATACTTTATACAGTTTACTTTGTCTGTCAGAGGAAAAACTTCATGCAATAGAATTTGAGATCATGATGCTGTGTTGCCTATATGTTGTTGAGATGAAAAGTAGAGAAACTTGAATTCAAGTTTTGTGGTTATAACGGTGTCATTAATTGCTTGTAATTTGTTCGCTGAAGAATTAGTGAAGCATCAAATTAATATATATGGAAGGCAAAGGGTGTCCACTCAAGCAGGTACTCCAACTGTTTGATAGAATGCCCCACTCATATCCTGTTTAAATTTCCCTGATATTGTCCGAAGAGTTCAGTTAGATTCTTCAGCCAACCGTACAAGTTTTATTTTTGCATTTGATGAATTCCTTTTAATTTTTATCTTATTTGCAGATTGATTAGCTACCAAGAGAGATGCCTGCTTTAGTGGTTAACCAAGTGCTTTTTTGTTCAAACTCTTGAATATTTTTCTCAGAATTTATACAGTAATATTTTGAATAATACAGAACTGAGGAGTCAGGTTTCAATTATTTTCACATAATCAAAAAATCTATTCTTCACTATTAGTAATCTTGATACGATAAAGAATGACATTGCTAATGAGGCCCCTTTCTTCATCTAGATAATTTGTACAAAATGTTACTTGACATTGTTTACTTTGGGTTTTCTGATATAGGTCATCATTAATCATTTGGACATGTTCGGTTCTGAGTGTAATCACAATCAAACTGCATTTTGTTTCTGAAATATAAGATTATAACCAAATTCAATTTGGTTTCTTCCAAGTCATCAGACATAAAAGCCTCACTTTCTCGGTTTCCCATCAGACTTCTGGTTCCTTGTACTGGTAATTGAATCAAATATGTATCGATTGGTTTCATAACCATGGGAATGGAACCATACTGAGTAGCTGAAAATGAAACTGAGCCAACAAAGCCATTTGAAATGAATTCCCATCAGAATTTTAAGAAGGAAGATATATAGTTATATTTCAGATAACTTTGTGAAGAATGTTACTATTAATTTTTTTTTTCTTTTGTATTCTTCAAGCTTATGTATTTCTGTATCATGAAAGTCATAATTATTTATTTTTGGAAACTTTTCTAACAATATGTTCGCCTCTAGATAATTGCAAGGGAAATGCTATAGGTACATTAG